GAAAAATTAAAAAAAAAAGAATAATTCGGAAGTGTACAACATTTACATTCAACTCTGGCATGTTGGTGAAACTGTTGGAAAAGAACTCTTCACTAATCTGTTTATCACAGGCCTCCATCCAAAACACAGCACCAGTCATCTGGTGTCATCTGGTGTTTATCCTTCACCAGGTTCAGGCTCTAATGTAGACTGTCTCTCCAGCTGCCACTCAAGAGTCACTTTCAGAATAGAGGGACAAAGAGTCTAAGAGCAGACTAATTACATCAGTACCCTTCTCCTAGTCATCCCAGTTACACCTGTGCGCTTCAGGGGTAGTTTCAGGAATTCTAGTCGTTAGCTGTATATCTTCTCCATAGAATATAAGACACTAATTGCCTTATGCTTTATGGAAATTTTATCTTTCCTTTTTTTAAAAAAAAATCCAAATATCAGAAAGAAGATTTTTTTTTTTTATTGCCCAGATAAACACATAATCCTTTTATGAATTTTCCTAAGCTCTTGGCCTCAATACTATTTCCATGGTAATAAGTGCCACAGAACTGTACATTGCATGAGAAGCATATTTCCTCTTCTCACTTCCAAACTGGTTGTCTTTTAACTTAACTCTCTATGTTCTTGAATTATGAAATAAAACAGAAGCTGAGCATTTTTCTCTCTGATTCTGTGCCACCTTATTTACAGCATGGGAAACAAAGTGGTAATTTTGTGTTGATGTAGCAGTCTGTCTTCTCTCTCACTCCATCCCATCTATACATTAGTTTTCCCACTGTTAAAACATCTCTCCTCCTCTCAGTTTATGCTTTTATTCAGTGATGCAAGCAATCAGCACAGCTATTACTTCAGAATAGAAACTAGTCTCTCATGTGGACAAAATCCTTAAGCTACAGAGCAGGGGAGGAAACCAAGACTCCAAATCCTCACTAATTGTGATCTTCTGGCTTTCGCTAATTTACAGGATTAACTCACTCCTCTAATAGTGCAGATTTCTTCCTCACATCACAGCTAAGTCATGGGGTTTTCATACTCATAGGATAAGCCTACTCAGCTCTTTTCAGTCCACGGGATACCCTTTACTTCTTTCTTCCCTCGGTCACCCCAGTATCATGAAGAGGAAAAGTAATGATTCTAAGGTCACTAAGCCATGCATAAAAACGCTGTAAGAGATCAAATCACACCAGAGTAAAGCAAAAAATAAACCCCTCCTACAGTTCACATAGACTTCAGTTTCCCCTGTTGATGATATAAGAGAATCAGTATACAACTGGGCTGTTAGTTGAGGGGGTGGACAGGAGGACTGAAATACAAATAGCCAACTCCTGTAATATACAAACTGAATGATCAAACAATCATGGCAAAATGTCAGCTGATGACATAAACTGACTTTAGTAGGGTCATATCTAACTATTAGTGATGTGGTTTAAAAAGGCTTTTAGTCAGAGGAAAGCTACTTCAGAGATAACAACTAATGCATGAGGGATGAGGGCAACAGAGATAATTAAGCAGGGATATAATTTCAGTGCCAATGAATTTGTTTGACAGTCTGCTTCTTGGCCCAGTCAAATAAACTTTGGAAATAAAATTCCTGCACTTTCAGTCTACAGCCTCACGACAGAATTATTTCATTGCTAGAGTCCAGGTCACAGAATGGAAAACAAAACAAAACAAAAAAAAAATACAGTGCAAGAGTTTGCACACATTTGTTCAGCATCATCATTCATGAGCTCACAGTAATAGGAACAAAGTTTTCTACTATGTTCAGGGCACAATCATACTCAAACATGGATTTCATACATTCGGTGACTAAGCTGCTATTGAAACATAAGCCATCCAAAAAATTCTGGACCAAAAGCTAACTGTACAAAAGCAAAATACCTCCTGCATTAGGTATCTCGTACTGAATCACGTGTGGCTGCACAACACAGTACTAGAAAAGACAGTATACAAATCTCCTTTTCTTTTGTTGCTAAGATGTTTTGGCAAAATAAGTCTGCCTCTAGGAAGCATGGAATAATTATAGAAGACACTTGTTAGTCTACAGATGGAGCAAGTAACTCAATTTCTGTATCTTGCATTATATCCTTTAGAAGCTACTTAAATTACCCTGGCATTGTTGTAGCAATGATTAACTTGCTGAACACTTTAAGAAGCAACAAAAACAGCAGCAAGTGGAAGAGATATACAGCAGAGACTTGGAAAAAAAGCTTGGAATCAAAATCCTGGATGAGAATGCCTCACACACAGACATTGGCTCTGTATCTGAACTCTCCATCTTGTGCCCAACTCTAATCATTACCAGTTTCTTTTTAAAAGTCTTTGCCTGAAAGAACTGATGTGTTATGAGACAGCTGTGACCTAAGTAAACTCCAAACAAATCATTCATCTTTGCGAAACTCCAGAACAAGCTGGTACTTTCTCAGAGAACAGTTTTCTTCTAAACACACATCATACATAAAGAGGAAACAGAAAGCACATATTGTAGGCTTTCATCAATTGTACACAAACAAAGCCTTTGTTAACTCTCTGAATAGGCTTGAGATTATTACGCCTGGGGCCAAGAGGCTCTCAGTAGTTTAAGATGTCATTTTCCAAATTTTTGGTCAAAAGGGTCTTTTTAAGGGCAGGGGAGAAAGGAACACTTTTTCCTTTGATATTGTTATGTTCACAATAGCCCTACTCAAATTTTTACATGCACTACCTTTTTCCTTACCAGATTCAAACATTACAACCTCAAGGTCTAGAGCAGGAGGTGCTCACCCTATCCACATCAACAGCCACTTCTTTTGTTACCCATACTTCCCTTTCATGGCCCACACTGTTCCTGGAACAGTTGGCCTTTTCCAGTTCTCTGGTTCTTTCTTACCTTCCTGTCACTCAAATCTACCACTGTGCTATTTTTTTTTGTTTGTTTGTTTTGCTTTTTTAAACGATCTACTTAAAAATATGAAAAGATTCTTATGCAGATCCAGGAAGGTAACCAGAGGGCCGAGGAAATGCCCACCATTTCTGCAGCTCACACCACAATGCAGTTAATGCCATGCTTTTGTCATGGCACACCATGAGGCACACCAACATACCAGAACCATGCAGTTAAGTTCGGTTGAAAGAGGGTGCTCATTCTAAAGAGGAACAACTACTTCTAAATAATGGAGCATTTTTACTCCAGAAAAAGTGGTTTAGTGTAACCAGTTTAATCTAGTCACCATTTTCAACTTTTTTCCCTTTGAAAGCAAACCCTAAATCAGTCTGAACTACTAAGGACTCAAAGCTATCTCATTCTTTAATGTGGTGGTTTTGTTTCAGCTACTTTAGCAGCTTTGGATAATAAAGCAATAATAACATTATGCATTAGTACCACATTCTCTATAAAAATTATGAGAAGCAATAATTTCATCAAGATATTTGGACTTTTGGCTCTTACATTATTACCCTAGGCCTAAAGGTTTCTTTTTCTTTAGAAGTGTTACAAAATAACCGGTAAGCAACATAAATGTACTTAAGACTATGCTATCCTGTAATTCACATTAGCAGCTGCACAAATAATTACAGCCCTTCTCAGGTATAACCTCACCAATTTAAATGAGTTTTCTCAGAGCAGAGAAGGACTGAAATCCCTCTGAGTGAAAGGGAGATCAACAGAAGCCTTTACAAGTGTTAAAACACAGTTTGATCCCTGGGGTATACAAATGCCACCTGCCGATGACTGAAAGAGCACGATTTTCAGACTCTGGATCAAATTCTATTGAATCTTGGCTGGTATTTTCCTACACATATTCACCAGAAAGGGGTCACTGTAACCCTGACCAGGTAACCATTTCAGCATTCCAGTGTTTGTAGGAGGATTTAACAGGCCATGCTTTTTGTTTGAGATCAATCAATCCACTTTCCTTTCCTCTGATTCACAGTTTTGTAAGAGGACCACTTACCAGCAAAATTAGATTCGGCCCCTTACAGAAAACAGCGTCAGGCTGTTCATTTATGACCCAGGCCTAGGAGATGTCACAGGTTTTTGGAACCAGATTTTGTTTCTGTCTTGTCAAGGGGCAGCTAAACATGGAATCATATAAAACAGGGCCAGTGGGGACTGATGAGGTCATCTACTCCACCTCCTAATCTTCAGGTGGGATCAGTTTTGCCTAAACAATTCTCAGCAGCTATTTCTCTGATTTATTCTTAGGAAACTCCACTGATGAGTTCCCATAATGCCTCTATGAAATTAATAGAAAGGTTCTTTTACACCTGACATGCATCTCCAGTTAAAGACATTATTACTACTTCTATTTTTTCAGGCTGTACACATATAGTAATTACTAAATCTGGTAGTGTATCAATTCACATTTGTTTTACTTACTCCTAATAGCAATTACTCTTTCTGCAAAAGTAGTTATATAGTGGTATGTAATTTAAGACTTGCTCTATACTACTGCAGTAGCTGAGCCCTACAATATCACAACACACATTTTATTTTTTTAGTACTTTTTTCTACTAGAGTTGAAACAAAAGTTGTCACTCATTCCCCTTAACAAGGCTCTAGTTTTAGGCAGTCTGGAGGGGAAGATCCTAGGAAGGGAGCAACATGCTTGAACTCACAACAGTAAGTCAATTCCGAAACACAGAGTGTCACTTCCAAACCAATATTTTCTCTTTTTGGTGATACTTCAAGGAAGAAAATACAGTCAGTTTTCTAGGTACTTAACCATTTCTGTCAAGTTATCTAGACTGTCTAACAAAAGCTAATTTACAATGGGAAGTGTCTACAACAGGCGCCATTAAGTCTAGAGCCATGGGACTGACTTCTCCCTGGACATCAGTTTAACAAGATTATGATGTAGAAGGGTACAGTACTTCTGTGGGAAGTGCAAGGCTTTTTATCCCGGGAAATATTTTCTATTCCTCTTAGCTAATGCACAGTGAGGTTTTTATAACCACTGTTCTTAAGGGAAGGTAAGAAAATTTAATTAATATATAGACATTCAGAATTAAGTAGCTAACACCTCTTTTTTAATTCACCTTCAAATCAAGAAGGGTTCTAATTAAGATGTGATAACAGATTCATCTTCCTAGTGCTCTTCCCTAGCAGAGTTTTGTAACTGTAACAGTAAGGGCATAACAAAAAACGTACTTATGTGGGAGAGAGATCTAAGATGTTCTGAAAATGTGTGGCAAAAAAAGATTGGTTTCTGCAAACAAAAGCCGAAATCTTGCCTCTCTCTACTACTTCAAATTACAAATAAATTACTTCTCAAAGTTTTTCTTCTTACTTGACTAATTCCCAGTCTGATACAGTTACTACATAACCAAACACTAAAATACTTTCAACATGTTTAAAGACAAAAGCTGTAATTATTATTCCTTGACTGGACAATTAAATGTGACACGAGCAAAGTGAGAATTTCAACATTTGATTTGGCGGGGGGGGAGGTGTGGTGCTGTTTTTTGTTTTGGTTTGTTTTTTGAGGGGTTTATTTTGTTAGTTGGTTGGGTTCATTCGGGGTGGGGGTTTTTTGGTGGTTTGGGTTCTTTGTTTTTGTTTGGCGGGTGAGGAGGGGGCGGGGATGGCAAGGGGCAGAGTAGAATATGCTACCAGATTCCAGGTGCTATCTTTTTTCTATTTCAAGATTATTGAAGGGAAAAGGAAATGGTATGGAACAGTCCTTAATCTGGAACATTATTAAAAATTAAACAAAACACATTTACATAGAAAATAAAACTAAAAGATTATGAATACAATAAAACTGAACTGATTTTCCTAATACAAATAACAATTACTCACTTTTCTTAATGTGCATTCTTTGTTTGTTTGCTTTTTTTTCTTAGATCAAACTGTGATCATATACTGACCTGGTCAAATATGATTCAGGTTCACTAGAGCATAGATCCACAAAACTATAAAGTCACATATTTTCCAGATAAAATAACTGTAGTTCACTTCTGGTTTTACCAAGTCTCCTTTGGTGCCTTACAATATCTCAAAGCTTATGAATAACACTGTTTTTTTCTGGCTGCCATGTCAGCTGCTCTCATGCCAATAAATGTTAAATATTAATTTAGGGATCTATCTTGCAATCTGTTTGTAACTTAGTAGAAAGAGCAACTTACAAAGATAGTTACGTGCCTAAGTAAGCCAATAGGGATGGCTGGGAGAACTCAAAAGAACATTCTTGTGTTGCAATCTGACAGCATTTTGGCACTCTGAACATCGCACCACCTGCAGCTAAGTGCCTCAGAAAGCCTACCTCCTGTCATAAAAGCCCCTTCTGTGTGAGCTGGTGTGGATGGGTTTTACAGGTACTTATGGGTGTGGAGTACCAGAAAACAGCAGGCCAAAGAGGAGGAAACGAATATGCTGAGATGTACATGAAAAATCTCCCCAGAACTTCTAAGCTCTGGACACTAGTAGAGTGGCTGAATCCGTAAGAAATGATAAAAATCAAAACACCAAGAATCACTTGAATCTGCAGAAGGCCACCAGCACACACTACCATCAATAAGAATATATGTAACTTAGAACACATCAACAAAGGTAGTGCCTGCTATATGTAGACAAAGACTATAGGATCATATGCATACATGAGGAACCAAAGGACCCTCTGGGTACTTCCTGAATGCCCACCCAGAAGTTGCTGGTGCATCAGTAATGCTTTCCACTTGTGAGTAAACAAGTGTGGTTGGCCTCCCAACTGTTGCTCCAACCAAGCATTTTGAGCAAGAGTAGTTGCATATACTGTGGGAAGAGTTACCTGCTATTAATAACAACAGTTTGGTTCTATTATTAATGAAACAGCTGAATTAATAAAAGGTGTTCTAATTAATACTGGTTGTGATCTGTATCTCCCTCAACTCAATCCCCTATCAGGGAAAAGGGAACTTATAGCACTCCTTGTTCTGGTGCTCATTGTGTGAACAGCTCTACTTCTCCCCAAGAGGAGCAAGTAGTGTTAGCATGCCCATACAAGCTTTGATGGGAAGAAAACAAACGCGTTTTGTTATTTTAAAATACTTACTTGGTAGGGATATAGAGTGACACCATTCGTTCTTGACAAAGACCAGGTGCCATCAAGGTACTGATGAGCCTGGATAGCCACAGAGTTGAGAACATTACCATTGCTGGGGCTGGTGGCCATTTGAAAGCTGACCTTTGCTTGGTGTCCAGGAGAGCCATTTTTCTTCTCCACCCCATTGACAATTCCTAGACTGTTGGGTTTCCCACTGTGTTTGTTGGCAACAAAGCCTGCATAATTAGATGTAGCATAAGGGGCAGGTATGTATGCCCAGTCCCTGGGCTGCAGGCTGCCCATGTGCCGGGGACTCACTAACGTGGGGATATTGGAGAGAGGTGGAGGAGAGCCTGGTGAGGCATCATAATGTTCTGAGTTGGCAGCTTGCTCTAAGGTCAGCACCATCTGAATGGCCTCTTGTTTCAACTGGTTCAGGTGTGTGGCACAAACATCACATCTGTTGTCCTTCTCATTCCATGCCTTACGAATGGTATTAGGAACTTGGAGCTTGTCATGAATCACCGAAGAGAAACCCAGGTCCTAAAAATCAAACAGAGAAGGGGGGGAAGACAGGAGAGAAATGCTTAACCATGGTCACCATAGTGAAACATTATTACTGTTGAATGTGCATTTCAAAAGCCAATTTATGAGATAAGCTTAGATTGCAAAGGACATTAGATACAGTTAACATATGCCAGAAGCAGAGCTGAACAAAAATGAAAAACTAGATTGTGTTGGAAGAAAAGTTCTTTTACTTTTACTGATAAGTGGCAAATATTATAATTCCACTGCAAGCTTCAACACGTGGCAGAGAGAATGAATTAACCTGCTTCACACCACTGCACCTAATTTCTGGCTTGAATGAAATCTACTCTTAGTTACACAAGTGAGATCAAGAGCAACTCCACTAAAACTAGTGGGCTTGTAGCAAGGTTCACAAATCCATCTACTCATCAATGCCAGCTTTTGGTACTCAGAAAATCCAGGAAACCCTTTGCAACAAAAATTTAAAATTTCAAAGCCTGCCTATTAAAAATAATAATAATAATAATAAAAAAATAACAGAAGTACCATCACTCTCCCAAAATCCTATTCAGAATTCAAAACAGATGGATATTTTATAAAGTTTTCAAGAGCTTTTCAGCATTTCTTTTACTCAGAATACACTTTTCAGCCAGAAAAAAAACAAACAAACCTTTCTGTTAATGAAATGTTCTACCACTTTTTTGGTTATCTACTGGTAATGTAAAATTAGACAATAATTTTACCTAGAAAATAGAACATGTATAGGGTCAATAATTTGTAAAGAATTATTTTCTTCTTGGAAAGCTTAGTTTTGGTGCAAAACCACATGGTGAGGTATAAAACCTCTTGCCTCATATCCTTACCTCATGGGTAGATCTTTGAAAGTCAGTGGTGCTCTCCACAGAGCAACATGCCACCCTGATCTGACTACGGTCATTGAATTGGCCTAAATTGCACAGTGCTTCAGTAAGCTGTAAAGCCAAACAGCAGTCTTACAGCAGCCTTAGCAGTGGTTTACCACCAGACTTGCCTAGTTCTTACTGTATCGTGCAGTTTTAGAAACACACAGCTATGACGTGTGTTACGCATGGCAAAAAGTGACAGTTACGTGATGGAAATATTTCTTGTGCAGTTATGCGATGAAAATGTTTCATCAAAAAAATTTTTGTGGTTTTACAGACCAGGCAGGCCAGACTTCACCTTCCCCTCCTTAAGTTTTGGAGACTAATTGGTGGATTTTCTTATGAGATTTATAGTCAGTAGTATCAAATTTATTCTTTTTCTTCTTTGTCTTTGTGGCCTGGTCAGCTTTAGCAGCAAACTGAAATCAGACTGGAAGAGTGTGTGTGGGAGGGGGAAATCACACAAGTAGACACCACCCTAATCAACTAATTTGATGAACTCCATGCCATCCAAAATAGAAAAATTTCCTGTCTTCATAGTTTGTCTGTGCTGGGAAAGAATGGGTAGGGGTTATAATATAGTATGGGAGAAAATTCACTGGTAGAGGGTCATATTCATTATGATTCATCTTTATTATACACTCAAGCATTTTATTTTCACTGTTTAACTACCGTGAAGAGCTCCTCAGCATGCAGTGATTAATTGATTCATAAATCATGGCGCCTCTTTATGTACAGCAGCAAAAGAGCAGTTCTAGCCCCAGAAGCCCAAGAGAGATCATATAAGCTGATGGGAAACAACAGGAGGCTGAGATCTGATCAAGCCTCAAGCTGGTCATTTCTATTCTGTGCACAAAGCAGGTCAGAGCAAAGTGTGTCAGGAAGGCAGGAACTGGATTCTGCGCTAACACTTCCCCCTTAACCTTCAGGAAAGGACTGGTGGAAATCAGGGGGAAGAAAAGAGGATGAAAAAGATGTCAAATCTTATTTTCCATCCCATACCATAACTAGGTCAACAGATCATATCAGATATAAGCATGCTACCCATGATGGCGGGTACACAGGGAAAGGACACTCTACTTTTACCATAATGAGGTAGACAAAGCTACCTATATAGCCGAATTGAGGTGCGAATCTTCTTTCCAGGCTGCTCCACATCAGTCCAGGAAAAATCCTTGCTAGCTCTTCCTTCAGCTAGCTAATGCCACAGAGCTGGCTGTTTTTCTTTGAAAGTTAACTTCCCTTAGGCAACTGGGCTTGAACCCAGGTAATTATATACAACATTCAGATCCAGCAGCAGTTCAACATGGAAATTCCTCGATACTGTGATAAATATTCCAAGGAAATAAAGCCTTCTCTAAAGTAAGCAAATGTCAGCATGATATAAATATTCAAGTAGCACACTAACTTTAAAGAGTGCTGGACAGCAGTGAATTCAGCTTCATCTCAGTGTTAAAACAAACATCATATCATTCTCTGATACAACAATAAACAGAGAGAGAGGGGGAGGGAGGGAAGAAGGAAGACCATTCCTCCTCAGGAGGAGAAAGGAGGAAGACAGGCACAACCCTGAACTGATTACTCCCAAGATTTGCCCTACTCATATATCAGACTCTACTAGATAGATAGCTTAACACTGGATCCAAGTCTGGAATATGAAACAGAAAAGCCTACAGGACAGCAAATAAATTTCTAGAAACTCAGGTTCCAGAAACACATTAGTCACATTTTGTTCTCAAAACAAAACGGATAGAGCATAAAAGAGAGTTTATTTTCTTATTCTGCACTGGGCAGCTCCACTATAATTTCACAGAAGAACCACCAGCTGACAGTCTTGCAACACATTTAGCAAGAAGGAGGCCAAAGCTAGACAGTCACTACATCCTTGCTTGAACAGCAGGGAAATGCAGTTACATGGCATATTCTGTTTCAGTATTTCATCTGCAAGCAATCATCTGCACACATTCCCCTAGAAATGCTTTTAGTTCAATAAACAGTGTCTTGTCCCATAGGCATATGACAGTATCTTGTCCCATATGAAACAGTGATGGGCAAACCTCACTGGATAAGTACTTTGAGCTATCTACACTAAGCAGCAGGAGCTGGAAGGGTTGTACTCACTACTGAAACTTGTGAGGTCTAATAAACTCCACACTCCCTGGCACGAGAGCATATTTGCTTGTGAAATCTGAGGTTGACACGGGAAATACCATTTATATTTTGGCACTCATTTACAGTCCTGACAGAACAAAGTACAGTGACACTGAAAACTGAAACAGAACTTTAAAAAACACAAAAGAGTTTGGTTTGAGTTCAGGGCAAAGGTTCATGACGGTTTCTCTTATTGCTGTAATGGTTCACCCATCTTCAGTATAAACAGCATTACTATAAACTCCTATTCCTATAATAAACAAACGAAGGTGTGTAAGAGGTCTGAAAGCTTCAGATCAGTCACAACACAGAACATAGCATAAATGCACAAGGCAAGCAATGAACTAAACAGACTGCACACTGAGCTTTGTTGCAAGGAGCCTTTTCACATTACCTTTGAGTTTTCAAGCTCAACTAAACACCAATTCCAAGCTATCTTTGGCTGTTCATCTTCTCCAATGTAATCAGCTAGCAATAAATCCCCCATCTTTGGTCCTGAACTAAAAATCCACATGGGAAAGACAGAAGAGGGAAGGAAATTTTGTTTTTGAGAGACCCATCATAGACAGGTATGCTGAGGAATTCTTGCTTTACCCCATGAAAATGTATGCAGAGAACAGGCACTAGTAAGGAAACACTGAAATACACAGACAGCTGTACCAGGTAAATGCAGTCCTGACCTCAAGGAGGAGGTGAAATGGCACTACTAAATGATCACGTAAGCTAATGCAGAAGCACCCTCCTCTCTTTCGCCTCCCTTCATAAATCTGTACCTTACCGAATAGTTTTCATGACATTTAACTCCATCACTAAGAAAGCAGACTACAAACAGAATAATCCTTTCCTTCCTGCTGCCCAGCTTGGTGCCCATCTTCCTCAACTGAGGAAGCAAACAACCACTTTCAGCATGAAGCACAGTCTGTTTCACGCATACGTTTACACAAAGTTCACAAGAAGACACGATGCAAGCAGGCAGAGCTCAACTGGTGGACAGAGGTGGGCAAGAAATAGGATGAGCCATTTGCACTTTTATATGCTACAAGGAACCTAGCAGATCATACATTCTTACACAAATACCTCATACACATACTACTTTTTTGCAAACATACAGCAGACAGACACTAATACAGGACATACTCTCTAAGATTTTGTGTACAACTGTATTTGATTTGGTCAACTATAGCCTACGCAAGTCAGACGTTGTAACCCTATGTCATTACTCCACCTCAGAGAAAATTCAACTATACAATGGATCTCAAGACCTTCTTATCAAATTTTGTTCTTCAATACCAATATTATTCATTGCTTTTCAGGGAAAGCCAAAGCAGTAAATACTAACCAAAATCACAGACGTCAGCTTCTGCTTGGAGATGCTCACAGACAACTCATGGAGTTCTTTTGTTTATGAAAGGGTCCAGGCAGCATGACTGCTGGTACGTAATATGTCACACAAGGTGAGGGGAGAAGCAGGGGATAGCAACGATCAAAGTTCTGCCCAGAAGGAAGTGTGTTTTCCAGACTCACTCTCCACAGGCAGGGAGTAAAAGAACTAATTAAGAAACGTTAGTAAGGGGGAAGCCCTAACCCTGATAAAAAACACATGTTTTTCCATGACTGTGCAAACATCTCTGCTCTAAACACAGTCCTGTTAGTCCATGGTTGGTCTCTATTTAGGAAAGAAAAATAAATAAATAAATAACCTCCTCTGTTTTCCTTTCTCTCTTGAGGGTGTACTTTCCAGCCAAATAAAGAGATTATACTTGTAAATTTACTTTCCAGAGGCACTTGGGCTATTTTCCAAGTGACTCTGCACCTTACCTTCAACATATTATATCATCTTCTAGGCTACATTTCAGAGATTTGCTGTTTTCAGCATTCCAGAGACCCAACAGCCGAAAACAGCTCCTCACTGTTACAATGGCACCACTTCTGTTAAAGCAAAAGTATGTTCAAATAAACTGAAGTCAATGGGAGTTCTTCCTTAAATGAGCATGACAGGATACACACTGTAACTATAAATTAGTAGCACTGTACCATCAAACTGAGCTGGGAACTCTTGGACAAAAATCAGTTAGCTTTGCTAAGCAAAGACTGAATCATCTGAATTATCTAAGGTGGCAGGATCTCTGCTAGTATAAACAGTGTTTTGCTAATTAAAAGTCAAAGTTGTACATGAGCAAGACCAAGGAGGCAGTGAGGTGGCCTCCCTTTTTCCATTGCTCTGTACGTAGCAACTGATACCTTCTCTTGAAAAGACCACACTACCTTACCCTCTCTGTCACTGAAGACCTCTCTCTTGCCCAACATATCTTCTTCACATAAGCCATCCCTTACCACTCACAGCTGAGCAAATGAAACTATCTCATCTCCTTTGCTAGAGAAGGAGAACATATTTCCCTCTTGTCCTTTTCTGAAACTTTCTCCTTTCCCCAGCAGGAACGTCCCCCTCAGTAAGCACTGTTACTACATGTTAGCAAGAGGAGAGAGGAGGCAATGCTGAACTGGAGAGCTGTAAATAGGGAACTTGGGAAAAAGAGAGAGAGTGGTCATGAAGAAAGTATAATGGAGTAAGAAAGAGGCTTTTTACATTAGCCTGTTTCCAGCAAGCCCTTGTAAAGAGACTGTCTTACTGCTTGCAGCAAAAACTTGCCGTGTTATCATATCCCACCTCTTTAACTATTACCGCTTTTGTCACTCAAACTTGAAGAACTGCTTTCTGCTGATGACTTGAGCCTTTACTTTCAAAAAAGGCCATGAAAGTGCTCCCTGTCTTACAGTCAGTATCCCCACAACACAGTTGGGGAACCAGTTCAGTTCTGGGAAAGGCAAGAAAAAAAATCAAATCTTAATCCTGTCTGGTGTAGCCCTTACAATTTTACTATTTTTCAAGGTGTTTTTCTGGAGCTGGCACATACTACTGGCATTTGACTTTCATAATTTAACATTTGTCACTATAAACCAACCACTCTGCAGCTAGAAAAATGTGCTCCTTTGGTTTAGGCTCTCTGTTTTCTTATCTGAAAGAGACAGAAAGTCTGAACAAGGCTCACCTTACAAACTTGCAGCAGCAGGAAGCAGAAGAGAGAAAACCCTGAAAAAATAGGAGGATTAAAAATGGGGAGGAAAGACTGAAGAAGAGAAAAAACAAAAAGTGTTTTCTAATTGTTCCATGGATTGGCTTATGGCTCTGATAATGGATCAGCACTGATGGCCTTACAGCTGTACACATCTGGCACACAGGTGTTTGTGTTAGCATTTGATAGCTAGACAGCAGCCAGATTTTTAATTGGGTTGGGAAGAAGAGATGGAATAGCAGCAGGAAAATCTAAATATAAATTTGATGGTGGAAATCCAAGCCTTGCCCAATGAGCACTTCTATGCAGTTGTCTAAAGCTCTGCAGCCCAGACTGAATCTGTGGCCACAGCACACACAGGGTATCCTGGAGGGAAGCTTCTTCTACAGATACATGGTAGACAAACTCAGCTGTTGCCAAAAGGGCAGAATTTGTCAGCACTCTTTTTATAGCAGAAAAAATAGAAACAGACACAGAATTGCAGAAGCCTCATCACTTGGGCTGGAAAAAGCAGCAGCTCTGTTCTCTCCTCTTTGCTTTGTATTTTCCTGCCTGAATGTTGAAGGATTGCATTTGCTTTCTGAGTCACCAGAGCACACTATGAGCTTGTGTTCAATTGATTATTCACCTTGCTGATCTAGTACTTTTCTGCATCATTGCTATAAGCAGTCTGGTGTCATGCATGCAGCCCAGATGTATCACAGCTGCATTTTTGTTCAAGTTTCCAGTCACCACATAGAACCGAGTTGCTATTGCTGCTTCTTTGTTCAACTGGCGGCCGGCTACAAATTTGACCCAACTATTGTTAGAATGAGATGCTTTCAAGAGTTTACAAACAGTTAGCTTTATCAACCAAATATTTAGTCTCACTCGTCACATGTGGCAAATATGATGACACCTTTTTTCTTCATAAAATCCTTCTGATTGCCATTTGCAATGAAAATGTTCATTATTGTTGATAACCTTTTGCCCACCTGTTCAAACCCATCTGGGATAAGCATGAAGCATGACTGACCTATGACTACATAGGCCAGACCTGTTAAAAACTGGAATAACATTAGTTTTTCTTTGATCCTTTCAAACTTCCCTATTACTCCAAGCTTTGATAAGCATCAAATCAACAGATCACTTGAACCTCTAAGAGAAACCAGGCTACAGTAGCAATTACTGTTCTGACACACCCCCACATTTTCAAAAGTTAGCTTGCTTTTCCTGTGAGAAGAGCACTACAGTTCATTGATGAATGCCAGCACTGAGCTACTACTGACACTGTAACCAGTGATTTCTCAAACTGTCATACCTGAAGAACGGTAACTAAACATCACAAGTGCGAAGGTCAGGACAGTATTTGTGACACTTACACACTTTCTGTTTTCCTGATTTATAAAGGGGTTTGTAGCAGTTTGTAACTGCTTTTCAAACATGAGAATCATATTTTATTTTAGGCAAACAATCATTAGAAAAAATATTGCTTTGGTTTTTGTTAACTCAGCTTTTGGAAACAATTTTACCAATT